TCTGGCCGTTGGGGACTTGGACGAAATTTTTGGGTGAGGGCAGATAGGTGCAGTACCGGTATGTCTGTCTCAGGTTCCGTACGCGCTGCGCTCTGAAAACTCAGTACCCGCAAACTGCGAAGTCTGAGATTCTCAGGATTCAAAACATAACTCTGAAGGGTTCAGCATTCAGAAAATGGCAAGTCTGAAAATCAGGATCGGCCAAAAAATTGATCTGAAATTTCAGACAATCATACTAAAATAGTCTGATAAAATCTGCCCCGGTTCCATCCTGTCCAGAGAGGTTCTAGGTGCTAGAAGAAAATGTCGAGAGAAAAGAGAGCTTACTAGGCAAGAGAGAGAAATACAAGAACTGAGTTGAACCCTCTGCAGTAGGATCTAGTAACACCTACCAAGCCTACAATTATATATATATATAATATATAACTTGACACACCCCTTAGGCTTGGTAGCCGAGAGCACACCACACACGCAGAACCCCCAAAACCCTTGCACCCCCATGCCCTGCAGCAGCGGTGGCTTCATCAGCCCGGTCGACCTCTCGAACAGGCCTCAAAATAGCCGGGTGAAATGCCCTGATTGCCCTGATTTTTCCGGGTATTTTTCATGTTACTCTTAAAAATCCGACTTGTAATTTTTTTAAGGCTGATTCAAAAAGTGTTCGCCTTTTTTTACCCTGCTAGAACCAGGGTTAGGCGCCTCCCAGCCCTGAGGCGTCAGGGTAGAATGAAAATTACCCTGATACAGAAACTCCAAAGAGGCAAGATACGTGCCAGATTTTGTGCGAGTGATGCCCGCCACGCCACCGCCACGCCCCTCGTCAGTCCGAAGTTTGTTGCCCACCATCATCACATGCGCATGGGCACGTGTTGATGGTACCACCTCGTTGGCTTTGCGCCGCCTTACGATTGGTTAGAGTGGCAGCATTGTTTCCTCGCTGGGTGACAAGTTCGCGCGCCGACAGTGAATGCTGATGCATGCAGCAACTTCACAGGTTTTTTCCTGTGAGCTGAGCGGTCCCAAACGAGGCTCTTGACTGCACACCTTTTGTGTCTCGCAAAACGCCCTTCTTCTCCATACGTTTCTTCCAGAAACCATGCCCCCTGACTTGCAACGAGCATTCCCTCACCCAGTAGAGTTTCGAGTAGCTGGATCGTCCTTCAGCCATGGCGCTCGATGCTGCCGATCCTCCTGACCCTCCCCCACTGAATGGACTCAGCGTTCTTGGGGTTTTCCCCCTCCTCCCGCCGCGTAGAGTTGCGCCTTCCCCGCCGCGCAATCCCTCGCTCGACAAGCGTGCACCCCCTCCGCAACAGTTTCTTTTTGAGCCAACGTCCCCACCTTGCTCTTCTCATGCTGCTGAGGCGATCGACCTCAACCTGTTGCACAGCGAAGGCACTTCTGGCGAGGCACCAGAAGTTGCTGAGTCTGTCGCCACCGCTCCCGCCAAGAGGAAGGACTGCGGACCATGGACTCAGCGTCGGCTTCCTTGGGCGCCACCGCCGAAGAAGCCGGCTGCACCGCCTACTCCTCCGCCTGTTGCTCCTACTCCGCCCCAGAATCCCGCTTCTCATGTCGACGCGGAGTATGAGGTCGTGAATCGTCGCTTCGTGGACGACTGGTCACGACGCTTCCCGTGGCTCCGACTTACTCGTATGAAGAACGGCCGACCTGCCCTCAAATGTGCCCTGTGTCTCCAGTACGGTGATGCTTTCTCCAACACTTCATATGGCAGGAAAGGAGAGGGTGCGCGCGATCTCCAGGTGGGCAGCATCCGAATCCACATTGGGACACGTGCTCACAAGGCGGCTGTCAAGGCGCAGCAAGAACGGGAGAAAGAGACGGATCAGCAGAAGACGCTAGACCGATGGGCGGTGACAGATGCATCGACGAAACATCTCATCCGGTGCTTCCATATCGCCCTTTTTGTCTGTAAGGCCGACGCGCCCATCACGATGTACGTGGCGCTTTGCTACTTCCTCGTGTCCGAGGGCTTACCCGATCTCCCGCAGGGTCGGGCGTATGGGACCTACTACACGGAGTGAGTTTTGATATCCGAATCCCTCTTCTCCCGTCAATGCATTGCATGTCGCCGCAGACATCGAACGTTGCCGTAATTTCCTTGTATGTGTCCACTTGCTCTCCAACTTTCTTACCAGTAGCCTATCCATTCCCATCTCCCCCTACCAGTTATGGCTTCAAGCAAGGGACCAAGGCGATTTCCGAGTACCTGAAGGACGAGCAGCTCCACCACATCCTGAGCTCCCCGTTTGTCGGCATCGCCATCGATGAAAGCACGGACCGCGTGCACGGGAAGCATCTAATTCTGTATGCTACGTTCTTTCGTGGCAACTCGGTAGTCACAGAGTTTGTCACTCTGCTAACTGTCGAGCGGACCGATGCGGCGTCTCTGACGGCGGTTCTTCTACAGTACCTGCAGTACATCGGTCTCGACCTCCAGAAGATCGTCGGGATGGCTACCGATGGAGCATCGGTAATGACCGGTGTGCAACAGGGAGTGGTAACCCGCCTAAAGAGGCGGATTGAGCACCTGATGGCTGTTCACTGCATCGCCCATAGGTGGGGTGTTTTACTCGCTACCCTCATGTTTTCAGTAGAACGCTCCAAATCATTGCATCTGTTCTAGTGTTGTACTCGTTGACCGTATGCTTTTCCTCTGCTTGTCGGACTCATTGCTTTTTTGTGTTTAATCCACTCCTCCCGCCAGAGAGGCACTTGCGGCGAAGGATGCTGCCGCTGCTGTGGCCGAGCTACAGATCATCGACATGCTCATCCGTGCTTTCGCCGAGCTCGTCGGTCGCTCCAACAATCAGCACCTCAGCTTCATAAACTTCCAGCTGGTGTTTTGCAACACCAATCTAGAGATGCAAGGGATCCACGCCGTACGTTGGTTGTCGCGCGGAGAGGCGGTGATCCGCTTCGTCGAAGTGCTGCCGGCGGCCATCGTCTTGCTGCGTGATCACCCCAGCGGTCTTTTCGAGATTGTGACGTCGTTCAAGGTGCAGTTCATGCTGCACTACCTCGCCGATATACTGGAGGAGCTGAATCACCTTAACACCCGCTTCCAGCAGCGCCAGGTATGACACTCCTCTCATCGTTGAATGTCGTCAGTACCATGTGCTTGCATCTAGGCACTCAGTCATACTTTGCACGTTTATTTTGCATGTCGTTCATGGTGCCCTGTTTGCTTTGAAATTATCTCTGTGTTTTCGTTGCAGGTGGATCTCACAATCGTGGCCTCAGTGGTGGACAACACGTGCAACCGCATCACCGACCGCTACATCAAGTGCGGCGGTGGTCTCTTCTTCGGGAACGGCAGCGAGAGGCTTGGGAAATTCCTGGAGCGTCACGGGAGGCCCGACCAGCGCCGCGTGCGCGTTCAAGGCGTTGACTCGGAGGGGAATGCTCAGGCGTTCGAGTATGTGCTGCATGAGCGGATGGTGGAGGGGCACAACACCAAGAGCGACCTAGACTCCTGCGCCCAAGTCTGCCGGAAGCATGCAATCGATGTCGTCACCAACGTCCGTGCCCGCCTGAAGGACCTGGCTAACATGGAAGGATGCAAGCTCTTCAAAGCCAAGACCTACCCACGAGACGACGAGTTGCGCCTAGCGAGATGCAAGCAGTGGCTGAAGCAGTCCCACAACCTCTTCGATGGAAAGCTCCCAGGTGAGACAGATTTGTTCTCGATGATGCTGCCTGTCATCGATGCTTGCGTGTCCGTTCTTAGGCTGCAGTCCCCGCAATCCATTTGCAGCAACATTCGTTGCACATCTCCCCTCAAAGGCTTACTGTTTCCTATCCTTTGAATCCCAACCCCACCATCCTGTAGGCTTCGACTACAACAAGGCCGTCACGGAGCTGTGGGTGTTTACTGCTACCATGGTGTCGCAGTACAAAGATGACGAGTTTCAACAGGGGCTCACCTTGACTCTGGACAACAATGAGTGGCAGCGGAGCTACCCCAACATCCTCAAGCTGTGGCAGGCACTGGCGGTGCTCCCTCTCAGCACAGTGGAGTGCGAACGTGGTTTCTCGAAGCAAAATCTGATCAAGTCATGGAGTCGTGGGTGCCTTGGCGATGACAGCCTGGGCGACTTGATGCGGTGCTCGCTCCTGTGCTACCAGATTGACCGGTTTGATGTGGTAGCTGTTTTCCGAGGTGAGAAGCGGCGGCGGCCTCTGCGCGACTTGTGTTCTGCCAACCCAACTCCAGCTGCGGCTTCTGCAGATGCAGGCACCATAAGGACTGACCCTGACCCTGACCCAGTTCCACTAGAGGATCCTAGTGTGCTGTAGGTCGTGTGGTTGTGATTTTCCTTGCCTACGTTCCTAGTTCATGCTAATTATTTCCATATGTTAATTATTGACATGCAGTGTAGCTAGGAATATAGTGCATTTCATAACGTGAAACTGGGTTCTGCTTTTTTTACCCTGAGCACCCAGAGTGCCGAATGTTCTACCCTGCTGAATCAGACTTGAGAAAAATTGTACTCTGACCGGCAGGGTAATTTTTTTTTGGCACTCTGATTCCTAAGAGTGGCCTAAAACCAATTTTGAGGCCTGTCTCAAGGGCAACCCCAGCGGGTCACTCAACAGTTCAAAGAATGTTTATTTTGGGAATATTTTTCGTAGTTCTCTCGAACTGCGCCTGGAGCTGGGGAGAAATTTCGCGCCTGCCACAATGATGACGAAATTGGGCTGGCGCGAGCGGGAAAACGTTCCTAGACGGGCGGGGGTTACTTCTACTGACCATTCGTGGAACTTTTTTCCTACAGTTTCTGACTAACCGTGGAACCCGACTGATGAAACATGTTGCGAACTCGCTAATTCTGATTGTTTATATTGCGTCACTGACCGTACATATTATCGAGGCCCCTAATACTGAGCGCCGATGTACTTTCCCTTCTCTTGACCCTGATTAATCAGCCTTGAAAACGAAAGAACCAGGGCCAACCAGTAAGAAAACTACCAAAAACTGATTTTCAGGGTGTTTTTTGAGATCGACACTGATCAATTAGCATGGCCTTAAACGAATCTGAGAGCCTGGTCTGAACGTGATTATAAGTCCTTACAGAAAGTTTTTCATCGCCCTTCTGAACAAACTAGACATTATGAATGACTTCCTGTGAATCAGCAGAACTAGTTGTTGGCCGTATTGGTATGACTAGACAGGACAACCACCATCGGTCTATCACTTCCCCTCATCCCCTGTGTCCTCCCCTTCCTCTCCCACCACCTGAATCGACAGCTCTGCCAGCTGTCGCTCTGCCACTGCTGCAGGGGCGTTGGTGAGCAGGCATTGGGCGGCAGTGGTCTTGGGGAAGGCAATCACGTCTCGGATGGATGGTTGGCCCAACAGCAGCATTGCCAGGCGGTCCAGACCATATGCGATGCCACCTGCGGGTGAGAAAGAGTGAGAATAGCAGGGGCATTGGTGAGCAGGCGCTGGGCGGTGGTGATCTTGGGGAAGGCTATCACGTCTCGAATGGAGGGTTGGTTGAGTAGCAGCATTGCCAGGCAGTCCAGGCTGAAGGCCATGCCACCTGCAAGCAAGGGGGATAACACGACAGGATGGGGTGGGGAAAAGGGTTGGATGGCAGTGGTCTTGAGGAAGGCTATCACATCTGGGATGGACGGCATGGCCAGACGGTCCAAACCATAGGTGATGCCACCTGGACAGAAAGAAAGCAGCAGGAGGGGATAGGAAAAGGAAAAAGGAGCGACTTGAGGCCTTGGGGAAGGCTACAACGTTGCAAATGGATGGTTGAGTGAGGAGTGGCAAAGCGGGATACCAGCAGCAGCGGGCCAGCACCCTAAACGGCTTTTGATTCGACTGAGAAGTTCTTAAAAGTTGAATCAATAGGAGTAGTAACGCAGGGCCGCCAGCAGCGCACTAGCAACCTAAACCCCAGCAGTATCATACCATGAGTATGATCATCATGTATCATTACCACCATCATCATACCACATGGCAGGGCTCCAACGTCGGAGGCCTCCATAAGAGACCCAACCATCAAGTGATGACAGCACTGGCAACACTGGTGACAGCACTGGCAACACTGGTGACAGCACTGGCAACACTGGTGACAGCACTGGCAACGCCGACAGCAGCAAAATGAGTGATAGCCATACCATGTGGCGGGGCTCCAAGGTCGAAAGCTTCCATGAGATAGCCAAACTTCTCCTCCGCCTGCAGCATCGGGAAGGGGAGGAGTGACGGGGAGAGGGAGAGATGGGGAGAGGGGAGAGACGGAGAGATGGCGGGGAGATGGCAGGAAGCAAGTCGTCCATGCGATGTTGAGGCGCCTCAATCAGAGACACCTCAAACCCAGGGAAGGAAGGGATCCCCAGCCAATCTTTTTCTCTAACTGATGCAGAGGAAGGGGGGAGTGGGGAGAGAGGGAACATGGAAGGGGAGAGTTAAGGAGGAAGGACCCAAATTTCTTTGCAAGGACCAGGAAGGGAGGGGGAGTTGGAGAGAGATGTAGGGTCGAAGAGTGGGGGGGCGCAGGAAAGAAGCGAAAGACGCAGGCCGGTCGCAAATAGCGTGATGGATTTTGGAGAATTATAAAAGAACTAAAAGCTGAAGTCGCAGACCGGACGCCAACAGCGGATCCAACTCATCAGCTGGTAGAAGCCCCTCCTCTCTCCCCCTTCTGTCTCTATCTCTCCACTCCTTTTCCTAACCTCTTTCCCCCCACCTTAACTCTTCCCTCCTTATCTCTACTTCTCCTCCCTTCAACCCCCCAACCCGACCCTTCCCCCATCTCCGCCCTCTCCATGCGTGCCTGTTCGTGGGTGAGGCCGATGCACTCGAACACCCTCTCCTGCACGTCCCGTCGGAAGATGCGCAGACTGCCGCCACCAATCTGAGGGGGAAGGGGGGGAACGGAGTGTGGAGACAGACACATGAACAGATGCCCGCACAGATGCACTCAGCGCCCTTAAAGTTGAGCAAACTACCAGAACGGATCTGAGAGAGGAGGGGGAGGGGGAGGTGGCAAAAAAACAGAATTGCACACAGAATTGCACATAGAAGTGCACACAGAAGTGCATACAGATGCGCTCAGAAACAGTCTCCTGAACATCGCGACGAAGGGCGCACATCGCATTCAGGAACCTTGTCTTGCGTGGTGTATGGAAACACATGATGCACGGAAGCACGCATCTCACCTCAACACCGTTGTACACGAGGTCGTAGGCCAGCGCCCTGGCAGTGCGGATGTCAGCCATGTCGTCGGGATGGGGGGCCGTGAACGGGTGGTGCAGCGCCTGGGGGGAATGAAGGAAGAGAGAGAATCAGAATCAAAGGGCCGGATGGAGGACGAGAGGAAAAGAGTGGAATTCCACGGGACGGGGGGCGGAGAACAGGTGGAGCAGGGCCTGGGAAAGGGGGGGGGGGGGGGAGTGGGGGGGAGTTTTGAAGAACGAGAGCTAGAATTGGACATGACAAGAATGTGCCGACCGGCCCCTCCAAGTGGACGCTTCGGTACCAAAGTTCATGCCATGGCACTTGGTCTGCAAAACCGAGATACTTCATGCCATCAGCTGTGCTGTCAGCTGTGCTTTTCTCTACAAAACAACAAGTGTTTTACAGCCCGCTGCCACGTATGGCTAAAACCACCACCAAGTGGTGTTCTCTACTTCATGCCATCAGCCGTGCTGCCATCCAGCTTGCCGGTCGCTCCAGCATGGGGATCGGCAGAGGAGAGCCCTTGCTGGTTGCATGCCTTCGCTCCATTCGATCATAGGGAAGCCAGTCACCCCCAGATTGAGAACATTCATATCCACACATACACCATGCACACGCGGATACCACACCACAACCCCCCACACCACAACCCCCCACACCACAACTTCCCACACCACAACCCCCCACACCACAACCCCCCACACCACAACCCCCCACACCACAACTTCCCACACCACAACCCCCCACACCACAACCCCCCACACCACAACCCCCCACACCACAACCCCCCACACCACAACCCTCCACACCACAACCCCCCACACCACAACCCCCACACCACAACCCCCCACACCACAACCCCCACACCACAACCCCCCACACCACAACCCCCCACACCACAACCCCCCACACCACAACCCTCCACACCACAACCCCCCACACCACAACCCCCACACCACAACCCCCCACACCACAACCCCCCACACCACAACCCCCCACACCACAACCCTCCACACCACAACCCCCACACCACAACCCCCACACCACAACCCCCCACACCACAACCCCCCACACCACACCCCCCACACCACACCCCCCACACCACAACGCCCCACCCACCTCCAGCCGCTGCTCCTCCTCGTTCCATTCGAACATGGGGAAGTCCGTCACCCACAGAATCGCCTCCGCCGATTCGTCAATCAAACCCAGACTGCCCGCCACAAACAGACGCAGCCGCCCAAGTGTTGCCGCCACCTGGCCGGCCGGCCCCGCTGCGAATAAGACGAGGTCGCCCGATTGCGCATCCAGGGACTGTAGCAGGGCGGCTCTTTTGTCCGCATCTGAGAAACCAGCAGAGATAGCAGGGATGGCCTCAATGTTGCCTGAGAACGGGAGGAGGGGGGGGGTGGGAAGGGGGGCGAAAGGAGGGGGGAGGAAAGAGTGCGGGTTGTTAGGGGAAGTGCGGAAGGTGATTGGGAACAACTGGGGCTGTTTGTTGGTGTACAGCAAGCAAGCAAGGAAGGTAGATAGACATGGTGTGGTCAGTGGTGGAAGCAGCAAGGGCCATATGAGGCAGAGCAAAGGTTGGAGTACAGGTTTCTCAAGGAGGGCGGCAAGGACAATGACTGAGGGGGCCGGCAAGGACAATGACTGAGGGGGCCGGCAAGGACAATGACTGAGGGGGCCGGCAAGGACAATGACTGAGGGGGCCGGCAAGGACAATGACTGAGGGGGCCGGCAAGGACAATGACTGAGGGGGCCGGCAAGGACAATGACTGAGGGGGCCGGCAAGGACAATGACTGAGGGGGCCGGCAAGGACAATGACTGAGGGGGCCGGCAAGGACAATGACTGAGGGGGCCGGCAAGGACAATGACTGAGGGGGCCGGCAAGGACAATGACTGAGGGGGCCGGCAAGGACAATGACTGAGGGGGCCGGCAAGGACAATGACTGAGGGGGCCGGCAAGGACAATGACTGAGGGGGCCGGCAAGGACAATGACTGAGGGGGCCGGCAAGGACAATGACTGAGGGGGCCGGCAAGGACAATGACTGAGGGGGCCGGCAAGGACAATGACTGAGGGGGCCGGCAAGGACAATGACTGAGGGGGCCGGCAAGGACAATGACTGAGGGGGCCGGCAAGGACAATGACTGAGGGGGCCGGCAAGGACAATGACTGAGGGGGCCGGCAAGGACAATGACTGAGGGGGCCGGCAAGGACAATGACTGAGGGGGCCGGCAAGGACAATGACTGAGGGGGCCGGCAAGGACAATGACTGAGGGGGCCGGCAAGGACAATGACTGAGGGGGCCGGCAAGGACAATGACTGAGCCACGCAGAGAACTGATGCAAACAGTCGTGCCCAGTCGCACCCAGTGGTTCCCTGTTTCACGCAACGTACCTTCTGGCAGCACATTGAGGAACGGCAGTCCCTTGGCGCCCGGTTTGACTGCCCCTTGAATTGAAGCACGTCACCCTTCTTCACCCGGGTCGCATCGTTGGGACTGAACCAACCCACATAACTTAAGGGAGCACTTTGACGAACGGCAGTCCCTTGGCGCCGATTTGACTGCCTCCTGAAACACGTCGCCCTTCTTCAGCTCAGTGTGGCCCCCTTGTGGGACTGAATAGACGCGCGTACCTTCAGGCAGCACCTTGAGGAATGGCAGCCCCTTGGCACCCGATTTAAGTGCCTCCTGAAACACGTCGCCCTTCTTCAGCCGGGTTGCTGAGATCTTTGCTGCGCCGCCCGACACCGACACTGCCCGCACCACTCCGCCTGCCTCCAGGGCAGACTCGAAAACTTTGAACGTGCTGCCCGCAACGATGTGAGAGATCTGAGGGGGAGAAGGGATGGGCAGAGGTGAGAGGGAAAACATAACAAAATACAAGATCCTATAGCATAGTACCATACATACACCACAGAACATGATGTCATGGTGGCATTAGACATGTATGATGGCATGAGGCATGCACGATGGTATGTGAGGCATGCGCAATGGCATGCACATGAGGCATGCATGATGCTGCAAGGGCAATCAACAACAACGCAAAAACCTAAATCCTCTCAGAACCATATAGTGACACTAAGATGATGCCAGAGAACTTCCTTAATGTGACAATAACAGGAGTCTCACATCAGCTATCTCCATGCCGAACCTCAGGTCCGGTTTGTCCGAGCCAAAGCGGAGCATTGCTTCGGCGTAGGTGAGGCGGGGAAAGGTGTTGGGAAGGGTCACTCCCTTGATGGTTTTGAATAGCTGTGGCGGGGCGGGGCGGGGCGGGGTGGTGGGCGCAGAGTCGGGAAACAGGACGACCGCACAGGAAGGATGATGACGGCACTGTGAATGAGCGGCTCATGGCTGACTGCCCATCACTCCACACCTGTGAGGAATGCAGCATGGGAGGGATGGTGTGCGGCATGCATGGGAGGGATAGTGTACGGCACGCATGGGAGGGATGCGAGCATGTGAGTCAAAATCTGACTGCATGCTCACATACTGTCTGCAGGTTTTGATTTAAACGCCTCACACATCCAAGGGGGGGCAAGGAAGGCATATCCAGCTGAATGAACTCACCATCAATCAGGCCCCACTTGCAGCCCCCCATGCAGCCCCACATATAGCCCCCCCTTACAACCCCCCCTTACAACCCCCCCTTACAACCCCCCCTTACAACCCCTCACCTCACCTGTCTCATGCTGCACCACACATCCCACTCTGACTCACGTGCTGCATCAGCCGTTCATTCAAAGCCAGCATCTCATCCAACGGTGTGAAGGACAGCTCCATGTCCAGCTGGGTGAACTCGGGCTGCCTGTCCGCCCTCAGGTCCTCGTCCCGGAAGCACCTGATTGAGGGGAGAGAAGGGGGGAAAACGAGAAGGGGAGAGGAAGGGCAGCAGCATGACGAGAGGTGTGTGTGACAAGCACGCTTGAGAAGCCTTGGACGAGGAGGAAGAGTGAGAGGGAGAGTGAGATGGTTAGAGGGAGAGAGAAGATTGGGGAGTGGGGAGGGGGAAGAGGGGTGGAAAATAGCGACTGTATGTTGTGGATGTTGGCAGGCACACCATTACCATTAGTTTTGAGACGTTTCAAAAGTAATCTACTTAACCGTGCAGTGTATGCCGTGGATGCTGGCAGGCACACCATTACCATTCTGCCTCATTGCCACCCTGGGCAGCCTCATTGCCACCCTGGGCAGCCTCATTGCCACCCTGGGCAGCCTCATTGCCACCCTGGGCAGCCTCATTGCCACCCTGGGCAGCCTCCTTGCCACCCTGGGCAGCCTCTCCGTTCGCAACACTCCCACCCTCACCATGCTCGCACAACATCCCTTACCATGGCACCTGGTAGCATCGGCCGAATTCTGACACCATGGGCATGTACATGCAGACCAGCATACATGCCATACCATACATGTCATTACATGCCATGCCATACATGATGCCACATGTGGTGCCAGCACCCCCACCGTGCGACCTGGTAGCAGCGATCGAATCCAACACCACACCTTGGTTCCTGGCTGATGGGCATGCTGTGCGATGGGCATGCTGTGCGATGGGCATGCTGTGCGATGGGCATGCTGCGCGATGGGCATGCTGCGCGATGGGCATGCTGCGCGATGGGCATGCTGTGCGATGGGCATGCTGTGCGATGGGCATGCTGTGCGATGGGCATGCTGTGCGATGGGCATGCTGTGCGATGGGCATGCTGTGCGATGGCATGTTGTGCGATGGGCATGCTGTGCGATGGGCATGCTGTGCGATGGGCATGCTGTGCGATGGGCATGCTGTGCGATGGGCATGCTGTGCGATGGGCATGCTGTGCGATGGGCATGCTGTGCGATGGGCATGCTGTGCGATGGGCATGCTGTGCGATGGGCATGCTGTGCGATGGGCATGCTGTGCGATGGGCATGCTGTGCGATGGGCATGCTGTGCGATGGGCATGCTGTGCGATGGGCATGCTGTGCGAGCACTCTGTCACATGCCATGCCATCGCCATCTCCATGCCTCACTACACTCCACCCTCACCGCTCCGCCTGCCCTAGCCCCCTCACCGTGCGTGGTAGTAGCCGTCGAAGCCCGACACCATGAGCATGTGCACACATACACCCACGTGCCCTCTGCACCATGCCACACCAGCCTCACCATGTAACCTGCCCTCCTGCCCTCCATCCCTCACCGTGCCACCTGCAAGCATGCCATATGGAAGCCTCACCGCGCCACCTGGTAGTAGCGGTCGAAGCCCGACACCATGAGCATCTGCTTGAACAGCTGCGGGCTCTGCGGTAGGGCGTAGAACTCCCCTGACTGGAGCATGGGGGAGGGGGATTGGGAAGGAAGGGGAGGGGCAACGATGATGGAAAAAAGAGGTGAGGGAGGTTCAGAAACGAGTGTGTGATGGCCCTGGCCCCACAGACAGCGATCACAGTGGAAGTGATGAAGGCACATGTGATATGGGCAGAGCACGATGGAGAACGGTGGAGAACGGTGGAGACACGCATGGAAGCCAGAAAACCCTCATGTTGCTCCCTATTCCCCTCTTCCCCTCCCCCAAGTACCACCACCCTGTAGTCACCACCTTCCCTCCCCTTTCCTCCCCCGCCCCACGAACTACCCCATATGCCCACACCCCCACATCTGCGCCCCCACCTGCACTCTAGACGGCACGAGATAGTCCCTTGCTCCCTCCGGTGTGGAGCGAGTGAGAATGGGCGTCTCCACCTGGCGGGTAGATGGGGACAGGTGGCAGGCAGGGAGGGCGGGAGTGTGGGTGGGTGGGAGGGTAGTTCGGGGAAAGGAAGCAAGGCCGAGAGGGAGGTGGTCGTTTGCTCCCTTGGGCGTGGAGCGAGCAAGCCTAGGCGTCTCCGCCTGTTGGTGGCGGCCGGCAGAGGCGGGCAGCCAGGCAGGCAGAGATTCTCAGGGAGGGGAGCAACGATACATGTGAGAGGAGACTGTCTTTCGGCTATAGGAGGGAATTGGGGATGGAGGGAGAGAGGTGGGGTGGAGGGAGGGTAGAGGGAGGGAGGAAATGAAGGCACAGAGAGTGGGAGGTAGGAAATGAAGGCACAGAGAGTGGGAGGGAGGAAATGAAGGCACAGAGAGTGGGAGGGAGGAAATGAAGGCACAGAGAGTGGGAGGGGGGGGGAGGGGGGGAGGAAATGAAGGCACAGAGAGTGGGAGGGAGGAAATGAAGGCACAGAGAGTGGGAGGGAGGAAATGAAGGCACAGAGAGTGGGAGGGAGGAAATGAAGGCACAGAGAGTGGGAGGGAGGAAATGAAGGCACAGAGAGTGGGAGGGAGGAAATGAAGGCACAGAGAGTGGGAGGGAGGAAATGAAGGCACAGAGAGTGGGAGGGAGGAAATGAAGGCACAGAGAGTGGGAGGTAGGAAATGAAGGCACAGAGAGTGGGAGGGAGGAAATGAAGGCACAGAGAGTGGGAGGTAGGAAATGAAGGCACAGAGAGTGGGAGGGAGGAAATGAAGGCACAGAGAGTGGGAGGGAGGAAATGAAGGCACAGAGAGTGGGAGGGAGGAAATGAAGGCACAGAGAGTGGGAGGTAGGAACGGGGGGGTAAAGGTGGGAGAAAGAGGGACAGTGTGGGTGGTGGATTCACACTGGGCACTCCCAGATAGGGGGTGGACTCGGCACCTAATCATTGTCCACATGGCACCATGAACCACGCACCACGCACCATGCACCATGCATGCACCATGCACGATCCATGCAATATCACGCACCACTGATGCCTAACCATGCCCCATACATGCCACCATGCACCATACATGCCACACCATGCATGCACCATACATGCCACACCATGCACCATAAATGCCACACCATGCACCATACATGCCACACCATGCACCATACATGCCACACCATGCACCATACATGCCACACCATGCACCATACATGCCACACCATGCACCATACATGCCACACCATGCACCATACATGCCACACCATGCACCATACATGCCACACCATGCACCATACATGCCACACCATGCACCATACATGCCACACCATGCACCATACATGCCACACCATGCACCATACATGCCACACCATGCACCATACATGCCACACCATGCACCATACATGCCACACCATGCACCATACATGCCACACCATGCACCATACATGCCACACCATGCACCATACATGCCACACCATGCACCATACATGCCACACCATGCACCATACATGCCACACCATGCACCATACATGCCACACCATGCACCATACATGCCACACCATGCACCATACATGTCTTACCTTACCATGCACCATACATGCCACACCATGCACCATACATGTCTTACCTTACCATGCACCATACATGCCACACCATGCACCATGCATGCCACACCATGCACCATACATGCCACACCATGCACCATACATGCCACACCATGCACCATACATGCCACACCATGCACCATACATGCCACACCATGCACCATACATGCCACACCATGCACCATACATGCCACACCATGCACCATACATGCCACACCATGCACCATACATGCCACACCATGCACCATACATGCCACACCATGCACCATACATGCCACACCATGCCACTCCTCTCACCTCCACGAACCCCTGCTCATCTTCCAGGAACCTTCTCAGCGTCTTCACAATCTCGTGCCGCCGGCGCATGTTAGCTGCCATGAGCGGCCGTCGCAGGTCCAGGTGGCGGTAGCTGAAAGCAGGGAGAGGGGGAGAGGTGCGATGGAGGGGGTGGGGGGGACCATGAAGGCCAAGTGAAGCGAGCAGAGGGGTGGCGGTGCATGTTAGCGGCCATGAAGGTGCGGCGCGCGACCAGATGCCAGTAGTTGAGAAAGGGGAAGGCGGGGGTGGAGGAGCACGAAGTGATCGGGGGTGGGGGGGTGCCTTTTGGCTGGCCTCGTGGTTGGCACGGCGCAGGCAGGGGGCGGCGCGGCGCAGGCCAGGAAGGGTGGTGGGAGGTGGAAAACAGGTGTTGGGTGTGGGGTTATCGGGGGAGGAAAGAGTGGAAAGGCGCTCCCGAGGTGAGGTGCCAGCCAGCTGGCTGAGAGGTCGGATGTACACATGGCAGTAGCGGTGGATGTTAGCAGCAAAACTCCAGCCACGTCACACCAAGCTGCACCACTGCTTACCCCACTGCATCTTCCCACGATCGTCCTTGTGGTCCTTCCAACTTACCGCAGGAGCACCTCCTGCTTGACTGATGTTGTGGGCGCAGTACGCTGCACTGCACCCACCCTTGGCACTTTGCTGTGATGCACTGTATGTATGGTTTTAACAGACGACACCACACCGCACCGCATTGCAGCACGCTGCACCACACTGCATCGCGTTGAGCACCTGCGCCCTCCCCCTTGTGGCTCACCGCAGGCGCACCTCCTCCTTGATGTTGTCAGCAGCACCCTCTGCTGACGTCATCGAGAAGGGCAGCGCCACTCGCACTGCATTGAGCACCTCCACGTCCGATGCTATGACCTGGGGAAGGGAAAATATAGGATTCGATCCGATGCTATGACCTGGGGAAGGGAAAATATAGGATTCGATCCGATGCTATGACCTGGGGAAGGGAAAATATAGAATTCGATCCGATGCTATGACCTGCGGAAGGGAAAATATAGGATTCGATCCGATGCTATGACCTGGGGAAGGGAAAATATAGGATTCTATCCGATGCTATGACCTGGGGAAGGGAAAATATAGGATTCGATCCGATGCTATGACCTGGGGAAGGGAAAATATAGGATTCGATCAGATGCTATGACCTGGGGAAGGGAAAATATAGGATTCTATCCGATGCTATGACCTGGGGAAGGGAAAATATAGGATTCGATCCGATGCTATGACCTGCGGAAGGGAAAATATAGGATTCGATCCGATGCTATGACCTGGGGAAGGGAAAATATAGGATTCGATCCGATGCTATGACCTGGGGTGGGGAAGGGAAAATATAGGATTCGATCCGATGCTATGACCTGGGGAAGGGAAAATATAGGATTCGATCCGATGCTATGACCTGGGGAAGGGAAAATATAGGATTCGATCCGATGCTATGACCTGGGGAAGGGAAAATATAGGATTCGATCCGATGCTATGACCTGGGGAAGGGAAAATATAGGATTCGATCCGATGCTATGACCTGGGGAAGGGAAAATATAGGATTCGATCCGATGCTATGACCTGGGGAAGGGAAGGGCAGAGCAATTACAAACAGAAAGACACTTTTTGGGCTCAACTGAGACACCTCCGATTAGACATGGGCGAAAATAATCGCATCGCATCGGATCGCGTTTTTGCGATTGTTTTTTTTTTTTTTTTTTTTTTTTTTTTTTTTTTAATCGCGCAATGTGATGAATTGTTTATCATGTTATCTAATTTAAATCGCATTTAAATCGCATTTAAAACGCGCTGGAAAACGCGATTTAAATGCGATATGCGAATTATTTTTTTTATCAAGCACAGTGTCGAAATACATCATGCCGCGAAATGTCGCTTGCAAAGGGGGAAAAAAACCCCATTTCTGAAATTCTCTTTTGGAGAATCTCCTTGCCATTTCGTTTTGGTCCTAGCACACACACCCTCTAGCCTCGCAAACCCACCATTCTTCACAGTTAACGGTCACCAGCTTGGATGCTAAGACCTGCAGGGTGAATGCACAGGTGGCATGGAGACACGTGGCATGGAGGCACGTGGCATGGAGGCACGTGGCATGGAGGCATGTGGTATGGAGGCACGTGGCAGAACTGGAAAAGATCTGCTCCTGTACACCAGCCACTCGCACTGCATTCAGCCCTTGCACCTCCACCACACCACTCCCGCGGCCATCTTCCTGTTTTCCGCCATGTCTGCTGGGCGCCTCCTCACCTCCCTCTCACTCGCACCACCAAGGTACAATAAAACGGCCCTTTTCCCACCCCCCTTATCAGCTCACTCGATACTGTACCCCCGCAGTCTCTCACCTCCACTTCCCCGTGGCCATCTTCCCATTGACCACATGTGGCGGCCGCCTCCTGACCTCCTCTGTTACTCGCACCTCGCACGCTTCAACCACCGTTGCCATCCCTGCTCGTTGTGTGGTGTTATACCCCGTCTAAGCCCCTCTCACCTCCACCTCTCCCGTGGCCATCTTCCCATTGACCATGTCTGCCGGGCGCCTCTTAACCTTCCCTGTCACTCACGCCACGCAAACACTCCACTGCATCCATCTCTTGCCACTTCTGGCTGTTTGTACCCTTATAAGGTCAGCCGCTCACCTCCACCTCTCCTGTAGCCATCTTCCCATTGACCATGTCTGCCGGGCGCCTCCTGACCTCCCCTGCCACCCGCACCACGTACTCCATGCGCACCCTCTGCGCCGCTGCATGCGCCTCTGGGTGCTGCTCTGGGTCTGACTTGACCTGGCGTGGGGAGGGGTTGAGAGGGGTGGGAAGAGAAAACGAGTGTTCTAGATTCCCCTTTCACCACACACTCCATGCACAGCGTACCCTTTGTGCCTGCATGTGCTTCTGGCTGTGGTTCTGGGTCTCATTCCGCCTGGAGTGGGGAGGCAACGAGTGGTGGGGGGAGGGAGAGGCGGGGTTGATTCGGCCCCCCTGGTGCACATGGTGTGCGGCTGCATGTGGTCTGAAGTGCCGCTCTGGACGGCACCTCGCCTGCTGTGGAGAGGGTCCGTTAGGAAAGGGGATATCCGGCTGCTAAGTGTTGCTGGGTTGCTAGGCTGCTGCTAACACCGCATGCACCCACCACCACCCTGACGCTCCCACCGTTAAACCCCGAACCCCGCCCCCGTCCTTCGTTTGCCCAACTACACTCCCGCGCACAGCGCTATCACCACCTACCCGCTGCCTCACACTACATTCCCCCTGTCCCTTATAATTCCGCCGTTCCCCCCCTCCTCCGCATCCGCCTCCCCCCATTCCCTCCCCCCCTTCTCTCCTCCCTCTCTCCTCTCGCACACCTGAACGATCCCCGAGTGGTCCCGCAGGCTGATGAAGATCACTCCGCCCAGCCCCCTCTGCGCGCCCGCCCATCCGCACAGCTGCACGCGCGCGCCCTCGTCCCCCCCGCGCAGCTCCCCGCATAGGTGGCTCCGCATGGGCCACGTCAGCGGGGCGAATTCCGCCAGCGATTGGCTTCCCCCTGCGCTTCCGCCAGCAGCTTCCGAGCTCTCTGCGCTGCTAGCGCCTGGCGGGGGAGGCTCTGCAGCAGCGGGGGCAGCATCGGCGCGCTGCGCCTGAAGCGCCGCCACCAGGGGAAGGCGTTTCCGCGGAACGGGGTTTTGCGGTTTGGCGGAAGAGAAATAGCGGAAGACAGGGGGAAGCGCAGGGACCATGACGGGACTTGGCGCGCTTGGGGTGTGCAAAGCCATTGCGCGCAAGGAAGCGGCGGCATTGCTGATACCCGACACGCGCGCAACAGGCAGATTAATGGCGGTCCGTCCCCCGATCTGCACCGTGGCACGCGGAAGCAAGAGGCTAGAAGCGCGCGCCGGAGCGAAGGCGCAGCGGGGAGCCATTACGGGGGCCGCGTCGATAGCCTGTTGGCGGAGTGAAGGTAGCGAGTGTGAAAATACCGAAAGAAGGCTGCAGCGAGGCAACTCGGAAAAAGAGGGCTTATTATAAAAGGCACGTTGAGCGAGTGCGATTAGGACACCCTTGGTCGGCATGGCATAGAGGCCGCCATGAAATATGTGAAAGCTTCTAATCTATTACTAAGAAAACAAGGCTCGACGCCCAAGCGTCGGAGGGGTTGCGTAGTCTGTAGATTTCCAATGTGTGGAATCGTAACAATAATACAGTTTGTATGACATCTAAATTTACATTTTCATATTAAAGTTCATAATTGTGTAGTTGTGAGGTGTTGTGATATAATTCATACTTAGCATTTCTGTAAGTCGATTATCGATAGATAGTGACAAATCCTACTGTAGAAGATAAGTCCGTAGGATGACGTCAGCAAATAGCACTCCTTATGAGGACAGTCGTTTCAGTCACGCGAACAGTCGCATCTCTTCGTTATCATTTAGGGCGCATAGTGTCAAACATGTGTATTTGTCATGTTTGTATAGACTGTATAGGGTAGCCTCTTAGAGGGTGCAACACTTAGGTATATCTGTGTGTACCCTCTCTCTAACATTATTCACTTATTCAATTTTGATATGGTATCACGCGTAGGTAGGATCCCCCCCCCCCACCTACCGCTTCCGCTCGACCCCCTAGCCCCGTCGCGACCCCCCCCTAGCCCCGTCGCGCCCCTCCTGGGCCCCGTCGCGCTCCTCCTAGGCCCCGTAACGCCCCTCCTGGGCCCCGTCGCGCCCCTCCCAGGCCCCGTAGCGCCCCTCCTGGGCCCCGTCGCGCTCCTCCTAGGCCCCGTAACGCCCCTCCAGGGCCTCGTCGCGCCCCTCCTGGGCCCCGTAGCGCCCCTCCTGGGTCCCGTCGCGCCCCTCCCAGGCCCCGTAGCGCCCCTCCTGGACCCCGTCGCGCCCCTCCCAGGCCCCGTAGCGCCCCTCCTGGGCCCCGTCGCGCCCCTCCTGGGCCCCGTAGCGCCCCTCCTGGGCCCCGTCGCGCCCCTCCCAGGCCCCGTCGCGCCTCTCCTGGGCCCCGTAGCGCCCCTCCTGGGCCCCGTAGCGCCCCTCCTGGGTCCCGTCGCGCCCCTCCCAGGCCCCGTCGCGCCCTCCTGGGCCCCGTAGCGCCCCTCCCAGGCCCCGTAGCGCCCCTCCTGGGTCCCGTCGCGCCCCTCCTAGGCCCCGTAGCGCCCCTCCTGGGACCCGTCGCGCCCCTCCCAGGCCCCGTAGCGCCCCTCCTTGGCCCCGTCGCGCCCCTCCCAGGCCCCGTAGCGCCCCTCCTGGGCCCCGTCGCGCCCCTCCTGGGCCCCTGCAGCGCCCCTCCTGGGCCCCCCCCGTCGCGCTCGCCCGGCCCCGTCGCACCAGCCCGGCCCCGTCCTGCTCGCCCGGCCCCGTCCTGCTCGCCCGGCCCCGTCGCACCCGCCCGGCCCCGTCGCACCCTGCCCGGCCCCGTCGCAGCCGCCCGGCCCCGTCGCACCAGCCCGGCCCCGTCGCGCCCGCCCGGCCCCGTCGCACCGGCCCGGCCCTGTCGCCCCCGCCCGGCCTTGTCGCCCCTGCCCGGCCCCGTCGCCCCGGCCCGGCCCTGTCGCACCAGCCCGGCCTCGTCGCGCCCGCCCGGCCCCGTCGTCCTCGCCCGGCCCGGTCGCACCTGCCCGGCCCCACTGCCCCGGCCCCGTCCTCCTCACTGGTACGGTTCCCCCCCACCCCGCCCTGCACTGCCCTGCACCGTACCGCCACGTACCACACTGTACTGCCTTACACCGCACTGCACCGCACTGCACCGCGCTGCACCGCACTGTACCGCACTGCACCGCACTGCACTGCACCGCACTGTACCGCACTGCACTGCACTGCACCGCCCTGCACCGCACTGGACTGTTCCTGATGGCGGCGGAGCTTCGCTTCGACGCTGAAGGTCAGCCCCTAGAGTTCGAGGCGTGGCTTGCCGACCTCCGCCGCCAACTCACTGGCCAGCGGCAGGATGGTGAACCGCTTTCCGCACACCTTGACGGTACGCTCCCCTGCCCAGACCCCCCTGCTATTCTGCCCGCTGACCCCACACCCACTGAGCGTGAGTCCACTGCTGCCACTGCCCGTGCGCGCTTTGTCTGGCTTTCTCGCGATGCTGTCGCCCAGCTTGCCATTAGCAACGCCCTCCCCCCGTCCGAGCGTCCTCGCTTTAGGTCCCTCACTACTGCTCAGGCATACTTAGATGCTGTCATCAAGCGCTATTCCACCCCTCCGGCTGCCTCGGTGGGTCGCCTGATCCTCCCGATGCTCTTTCCTGACCTTGCATCTTTCCCCACTGTCTCTGACCTCGCTGCCCACCTGCGCTCGATAGAGGAGACCTGGCGCGCCGCCTGCACTGACGCACAGCTTAGAGCCCACCAGCCGCCTATTACCTCTACCCTCTACCTGCTTGCCACCCGCCTCCCTGACCGCCTTGCTGTCGCCCGCGACCGCTTCCTTAGCCTTCACCCTGCCGACCTCACCCTCACTGACTTTGTAGACACCCTGACTGTCATAGAGACCCGTCACCGCTCCATCGCCCAGGCGAGCGGTGTCGTGCCTGTCCCTATCTTTCAGGGTTGTGCCCCCGCCCAGTGTACCTTCTCCGACGGCTCTGTTGCAGTGGCTGAGACTGCTGCTGCAGCGCAGTTTCGTTCGGGGAAGGGCCGCCGCCCCAAGCTTGGGCGCGGCGGAGGCGGCGGCGGGGGTGCGGGAGGGGGTAGTGATGGGGTCGGGTCGTCTGGTGCTGGAGCGGACGAGGGGACCCTGCCTTGTCCAGCTGAGCCGCCGCCCCTGCAGTTGCAGCAGCCGCAGCAGTCGGCTTAGTCACAGCCGTCGCAGCAGCCGCCGCAGCCGTCGCAGCTGCGGCAGACGAGTGTCCTCCCGCCCGGGTGGCCCGGCGCTGGCGGTGGCCGGGCGCGTGGTGGTGTGTCGAGTGGTAGCTTTGGCGGCGGGCGCTGTCAGTACCAGATCCAGACCGGTCCTCGCCGCGGCTTCGTTTGCGGTAAGCTCGGTCACTCCACTCCCCGCTGTTTTCGTCGCCTGGATGACCTCTTTCGTCAGCGCTTCGGCCCGTCGCCAGACCTCCCCGACTGGCACAGTTTGCTTAGTCGTAAGATTCAGATCTTTGATATGGACATGGATGCCATTGTTTCTGCTCTGCATGTGATGTATGCTGATGACTCTAGTGTGCTTCCCGCTTATTACTCACTGTTGCCTAGTGTAGGTGTGCCTAGTGTACCCTCCCCTGCTGCGTCAGGCGTAGGATCCTCTGCTTTGTGTAGTCTTGGTGCTTCCGCCGTCGTTCCGTCGCCAGACGCCTCTGCTTCGCTTTCCTTCACCTTGGACTCTGGCGCTTCTCGGTGTTTCTTCCGCGACTCCACCACCCTGACGCCGCTTCCCGTCCCTGCTGCCGTTTCTCTAGCTGACCCCTCTGGCGGTCCGGTAGTCGCCCGCAGTTCCACCACCCTTCCCTGTCCGGCGGTTCCTTCGGGCACTCTCACAGGTCTGCATATCCCCTCGTTCTCCAGGAACCTAGTTGGTGTCGGCTGCCTCCAGGACCTTGGCGTCACCACTACGTTCCCTGGTCACGAGCGGTATGCTGTCTGTACCGAGGCCGCCACTGGTGCCCCCCTGTCCACGTTCCCCCGGGACCCGGTGTCCGGCCTGTTCACTCTGGACACCGTGATCCCCCCAGCTGGAGCGCTCACCCAGGTTGCTGCCGCGTGCTCCTATCGGTCCCTCACTCACCCGACCCTCCTTTGGCACCACCGCCTAGGTCACCCTGCGCTCCCGCGTCTGCGTCACATGTCCCAGCACGGTCTTGTCCTTGGTCTCCCAGGTTCTCTCCCTGCGTTTCCCTCCTCCCCAGCCCCACCTTGCACGCCTTGTGTCGAGGGTCGGCTTCGCCGTGCCCCTCACTCCTCCTCGTTTCCCCCTACCGCCGCGCCGTTGCAGACCCTGCACCTGGACGTATGGGGCCCCGCCCCTGTCCCTGGGCCGCGTCGAGAGCGCTACTTCCTAGTGCTTGTCGACGACTTCACTCGCTACACCACAGTCTTTCCCCTGGAGCGCAAGGTCGACGTGCCTGGCGCTCTCATCCCCTGGCTTGTCTCTGCGCGTGTCCACCGCGGTCTCCCTGTCTTGCGTCTTCACTCAGACCGTGGTGGCGAGTTTGCCTCAGGTGTCCTTGGTCGCTTTTGTCGTGCGGAGGGCATCACCCAGACGTTCACCCTACCGGACTCCCCACAGCAGAATGGGGTCGCTGAGCGACGCATCGGTTTGGTCATGGAGGTGGCTCGCACCTCCATGATCCATGCCGGTGCACCCCATTTTCTGTGGCCGTTCGCTGTGCGCTACGCTTCTCACCAGCTTAACCTATGGCCGCACCCTCAGCAGCCGCACCCTCAGCAGCCGCATGTTTCGCCGACCCGTCTTTGGAGTGGGTCTCCTGGTGACGCGTCTGCATTCCACGTTTGGGGCTGTCTTGCTCACGTCCGTGCCTCCGGCACGGACAAGCTCACTGCCCGCACCCTTACCTGCGCCTTCCTCGGTTTTCCCCATGACGCGTCCGACTAGCACTTTTACCACCCGCCGTCTCACCGCTTCTTTCACTCTCGTGACGTCACCTTTGACGAGTCCGTCTCCTACTACCGTCGCTTCCCCCACCGTGGTCCCCCGGTTACTCCCCCCCTGTTCCTGGTCCCTCCTTCCCCGGTAGTCCCTGCCCCTCCTCCTCCTCCTCCCCGTCCCGCCCCCTCTGGTGTGTCCCACGTCACCCCCCTTCCGTCGGTGGACCCGGTGGAGGAGTCTTCTGACTCTAGTGGCCCTCCTGTTCAGTCCTCGCCGGCCGCCCCTCCCCTAGCGTCCCCTCCCCAGTCCCCCCCTCCACCGCCTCTGCCGCCGCTGCAGCCGTCGTTGTCGCTGCCGCCGCCGCCGCCGCCGCCGCCGCCGCCGTCGCAGCACCCGTTCGCTGACTCTGGGGGTGCTCGTCCCGGTAGCCCTGGGGGTGGTCCCTCTGGGGGTGCTGGTGTGGAGAGTGTCGGGGGTAGCCGAGGAGCAGCTAGCGGTCCCGGTGTCGCCGTTGTGCCGCCGCAGCAGCAGTCCCCGCCGGTGTCAGCCCTTCGCCTGCTCGGCC